TGATAAATATCATAAAGCCTGCCATTTGAAATAAATATATGTTTTGTTAAAGACATTTTCAACTGTTATTATTACCCATGCTTCTTTACAATCCACACAGACTTGGATCGGCAAAAAAGCTTTCGAATTGGGATTAAATACGGCCGAGTCAATTAGGCTATAAATCAAAGGAGATCGTTAGATTATCCGACGTGTAATTCTGCTTAATTTATGAAAAAATTGAGCAGTCGGAGTTGTTAATGAGATTAAATGCACCCAGCAATGAACCCTTCTTCATTGTTTCAAGAACTCACTTCGAGATTCGTGGGTGGGATTACGTCTGGGACAAGTTTCATTCACGTGGTTCATTTATCAGCTGTCATTTACTTTCTACGTTCATCGTTCCAGTCGGATGTGGAGAGTGGCTGGCGACTATTTTTATAACACACAATTACTCACTAGAACTCTCTGAAGGATTATCGAACTTTAACTAGGTCCTTTCTTCTCTACGAAAAGGTTAAATTCTTGGAGCCATACAGCTTGCAAATATTTTCCAAGGGTTAGTCACTAAAGCCTTTGTCATTAAAACAGAAAAGAGTATGTAATCACACAAAGAAATGTCATTTTAGTAAACTCCAAAACCTAAGAAAACACTTGATTCGGACAAAAGGAAAATATCTGAGCAATAACCCATTTACCATCACTTTTGTTTACCAGAATGAATCAGTTACTGTAAATCGTTACATTACTAGCGCAGTGTCAATTCACTTGCCTCTATCACTAATTTCGTCGACTTTTTTATTGAATGGTTGCCAAACCCTATATATTTGATACAATTTGTCATAATTTGAAAACCGATACGTAATTAATGAAGATAAATATAGCCCTATCGGTAGGACTAGTTCAAAGGTAGCTTGCTAGTTAGTCATTCTGTGGGGCGATAGGATGGTTAGTATTCACTTATATATACTGCAATATACACTGAGGTAGAAATGCCAGTAATTGTCCTCTTACTACTGACAATGCACTTCTCTCAATTGCCTTCTCTATTTCCTACCAAGCATTTTATTGATTGTGCCTTTTACCTAAACTGACGCACCCTGCGCTTCCTCATACACAATTCATGTTGTATTTATGTTATTGGTTGTCAATTTGATTGTCCGTCATAAAATAACATGCACGGTGTAATTACATATTTACTCGTTCGAGTTACAATGCCTGATTTGCCCTATTTTGTCTTGCTTTGTTTTGTAGAGAAACGAACGGATAAGAGCGCAGTTTCGGGTGCTATTCGTTTGCACATCTCCGTGGAAATCAAAGGTGAAGAGAAAGTTGCGCCTTACTATGTTCAGTACACTTGTCTTCATGAGGTAAAAATGCGTTTATCGTGCCTTTTATTAAATCATAATTATATTGGATGTTAAAATTTATCAGAGCAGAAAGGGATGCTAAGGATGATAGTGTCACAATAACTCGGAGATAGTTTATTAATGTAAGAAAAAGTAACAAAATTTGCTCACACAATTAGTGCTTGAAGGTCACTTCACTGTCTGGATGGATGAATGATGGTTTGGCCTAGACAAATTGTCTATAGGTCTGCATATTGATCAGGCTGATAGGACCTCGAAGGCCATCGGAGAAATGAGTTGGCCAATGGCTATAACGCATGGATTCTTCGCAATGTTGAGCTAATTTTTGGCGTCTAGTCAGCTAAAGATACTAATTTGTTCATATTTATATCTGTCTAAAATATTGAATTATCCACCATCTGCTACTGTTGTGCCATTATTATTAATATGTCTCCAGTGAATTAAAAGTCACCTAAACTGAAGGGTACTTAAATGAAACCAATTTGTAAGTGCTTAGTAACAAGATTGTTTATCTCATTTAACGTGATTACTAGTACATGTTCATATTAAATTCTTATGTTCGAGTTTTCCAAAATTCTGTCTGACTGATCAATTGATTTTCACAGACCGAATCGATTCTAATATCGTGCACACGACTTGGAGAGCAAAACATCAGACGCTGAAGTAAAAAAATATCGACCTTACTCATTTGGGGTAGATTAACGGCTGATGAGATTGGAGGCTGTCTATAATTGCAAGATGCACCGTTATGTTAAGCCTGTATTTTTTTCACTTCTTCAAAATTCATCAAAATAATTTCGTTGGCCATTATTTACAATTCATCCTGAAAATTTAAACCGTTGAAATCATTTAAAATAAAAAATTGTCAACTGCCTAAAGAAAATTAGTAGAATTTTCGTGCAGAATCATTCGCTCAAATTTCTGCAAGTAACAGATTCACACTTTATAAAGATGCTTCAGTTTGGATCACATAATTGAACCGAGAATTGAAATTTCTTCCGCACTAAACTCGTCTAATTAGGATCGGCAGCCTTCATCAAATTTAAATTTTTCAATTTTGCGCATTTGTATAGCACTTCTAAGCTTATTTTGGGCTTGGGACAAAGTAAATGGAATTTGAAATTCAATTATAGCAATTCCTTGCACTAACTAAACAATTATTCAACCTTTCATACCAACTATTTGCCTTAAAATTTTGAATTTCAATTTCTTTGTTTCTACGTGACGGAATGGTAGAATTGAAATTAACGATTTGTTGGTTGACTGTATCGAGATAATGGCCATGTTTTGGTATCTCGAGGAAAAAGCTATAACAACTTAAAGGACTTACCTCACGGTACTCTGTGTCGTGAAATAGCTATTTCTAGCACAGTTGTGTTTGAATTTACCATAGGAAAATGTCATCAATATCCTATCATCAATTCGATGTAATAACGAGTTGTTTTACATTCATCATAAGAAAAGTATTTGGACAACTAAGACCCAAAGAAATCTTAAAACTAAAGCTAGAAGAAAGCTCTTCACTGCTTTAAGTATTCTACTCTTCCAGAGTGTAGGACTGAATAATTTTATTATTGCGATGTAAGATTATGTTAGAACTGTTGTGATCTTAAAATCTAGTGTTGCTGCTAGGGTATATATATATATATATATATATATATATATATATATATATACATATCAATTGTCATGGCAAGGATACAACTGACACAGGCCCATTGAGAATAGGAAAGCAGAATTGCGGTCACTATTTTGAGCCATTTTAATAATCCCAAAAAGATTATGAGATAGTAGTTCACTTCATGCAACTGCCTTTTGAAAGCCAACGCACTACCAAATCGACTAAAGATTTTATCCAGGCAAACAGTCAATCTGCTTTGAGCTACGCCCACATATTGGTAGCACTGATGGACGAATTGAGAATCAATTGAGACAATCTCTACCCAAGACGAAGCAAAGTATTGCAACCATTACCTATTTCTGTCTGTCATCTATCTATTGTATAAATCTCGTATTCCAACTCAAATCTATGACATTTTTTGATTATTAGATTTACACCATATCTCAATGCTGAACTAGTAAGAGCACCTTTGAATGCATTAAAATTTCCTCTCCTACTTAGTCCTTACATGAGTTATTAAATTCGCCTTAAAAATTTTGTCTTTATTTCTTTTTATTCTATACTTGAAATGATATTTTTTACTTTATTATGATAATGATGAATCCAAAAGTGCAATGGACTTAAAGTAAAATGGAACATTAATGTAAGGGATTAAAATCGGCTCGTAACGTTTTGCATTCAAGATATTGCATTGATTGGCTTTGAGTCTTAATAAGATAATTATTCTGTGTGTCTCCTAATCCTTAATGATCCAGGCATTTGCAAGATATTTATTTAGCTGTCGATAATGTAATTTTGATTCTTTATATAGAATATCTTCTACTATCTCTGTGAAACAAATAAGAAGAACGGAGAACCCGAAGTAAAGATTCCTGAAGCCAAAGGCGTAAGCGTTAATATTTATTAGCCCCTCAGCTTATATTTATTTTCATTAACTTTGACTTACGTCATTATTTTGGGAGCGTAAAACTAACATCGATAGATTGGCAGTCAAAATTTGTTCAAATTTAATTCCAGGGATCATGAAAATCTTTACTCAGTTCATCTTGCATAGTTGAAGAATTTGTGACGCTCAAAATCGTCTTTTTGACGTCTGTAGTGGCTTCGTGAAATTGTCGGTCGTACAAAATTATGAATGTCATTCGTTAATTTTGATTAGATCAGTTCTGCGTGTAGACTCGCTTTTGTCGTTATAATTCTTTTATGAGTTACGGGTATACGATAATAAAAACCTCTCGGAAGAATGAACCCACCATGATTTTCTACGATTCACATGCACAACAACAACACTCCAGTCCTTTCGGCTCTTTTGTACGTCAAATACATGACTTGAGCTTTGCAGAACCCCTGGCCTCAAGACTGAACTGACTCAATTTTACTTTCGTCTCTTCTCAGTAATAACAGTCGTGTGGGAAGCTCTGTAACCCCCCCCCCTCTCTCACTTTCGTTAAATGCACTGAATGAGAAAAAAGCATCCTCAACTGTTTGAAATTTGCTTGCGAGTTTATGCTTATCAAAATGCTCATTCCCATAGTCTTATGTTTTTAGAATCTGAGAGGTGACTGATGTTTATTCTTCGAAGTAGTTTTCCGCTTAAACTTGCGTATTAACAACCAACATTGCATGCGAATTCACTTTTACAGTTTTCTTCATATTTTTCACATCTTCTTAGTAGCTAAGTTCGCAGAAGTTACATGATCGAAACCTTTCCCAAATCTGTTTTGCGAAATTTGAGCAACTTCTCTTAAGTCGCTAGGAATTTGGATTTCTCTGTCTATTATGACGCATGTACTCACTTCATCACTGGCCTTCAAACTGTGAAATAGCTGGGCAAAAACTAATATCTAATGTACAGAATGACATCAATTACTTGTCTGGCCTTTAGAAGTTTTGAATTGGTGTTAAGCAATTCGAATCATCATGTACTGCGTTTTACTCATAATGCTATTCGTTGCTAACCAAAAAATATTCTTTTAACATGAAATTTTCCGGTTGCCAGAATGTAATTTTTCTTTTGCTTTACTTTATTTTATCTCCCTCACATGCTTTCAATGAAGTTAAAGACACTACCCGCTTTTCGCATAGCTCATGTAACAACCCTCTATTGGACTAGATATTTCATCAATTTACGGGATGTTTGGTTACGGTCTGTTCGACAGTGCCTTCTCACCTCATGCTTTTGCAAAGAGTCAGTGGCATCGAACGTTCAAACGGAATACTTCTGTATCTGTCACCTTTAGTTTATTCTTAATATTATCCGTGATACCGCTTCCAGACCGCGCCGTCTTGCATCACCGAACAGCTGCGTTACTTCCAAACTGAGTTTAGCCCATGTAGTTGGAAATTCAGTGACGGATTTACTATTACATCCCCCATTTTCTGGGCACTTACTCATCGGTTTACCTTGTGCTTCCATGGTTGAGTGGTTAGGTTTCTCATAAAAATGTTCCCGCTCTCAATTTAATACCAATTTTTCGTCCTCTGAAAAAGCCCAGCATCATCCAACTATCTGTTCTCTGATCACCTTTTAATTTGCTATCGTTTACCTAGTGGTAAACTATGGTAGATAAATGTTAGAGAAATGCCACTTCCTATCGCTTATGAGGGTTCCGTGTATTGATGCCTATGACCTTACTTTCAATTTTAGGACGACAGTTGGAAAGTGTACTTCGATTCGCCTGCTCATGAAATCATCACGGAATTCGCTATTCGCTATGGAATTGAATCAATGTACCAGGCAATGACGTAAGTTCAGGGTCAAAGAAATAATTTACTTTCCTTTTAATTATATTTGTGAATTTGGTTTTTTTATTATTCAAATGTTACTTTAGCTCCAACTAACTTAAATTATATAGTCAAATAGAAATTTAGTAAAATGTTCTACAAAAAAGCCTATCGGAATAAATCTAATGCTATGGTTTATTCAATGCCAATTCATCTCTTAGTGCTTTTAATGTCCATATGTTTAGAAGGTTCTTGTAATTTCATGCAATAAAATTTTAAAAGTATCAATTGATGAAGTCCAATTATGGCTCAATATAGAAAATTGATCCAACTTCATAGATTTTATGATTGTCATATTCTCATTTTCTGGGTGGAATGTCAATTTAATAAACAAAGTTTGCTTTATTCGAGTCCAAAGTATGAAGGTGGGATTTGCAAATTTTAGGTTTCACTTTTAAATTTTATTGGGGAATGCAAAGTTTGGTATAAGTAGCTAGTTTGCGAATGCAGCAAACACAAAAGACGACTAAGAGAAGTATATTTAGGGGCTATTAAAAATATTATTATTAATTGCTAGGACAACAGATTTTCTATTTGTTTCAAAGAAATTTTTAACATCTTCAAGCAATAATTACCATGAATGCACAATAATGACTACTATGACTTTGTTATCATACTAATACACAAATACTACTTAGTAGCACTGAAGATGGATTAAAAAGTAGAAAATAAGAGATAATGGGTAAAATCAAAATATCATTAAATACTGCACATTCTACTAAGATTTAATCAACATCTTGCAAGCGCCTGCTTCTAATAGCCTTCCCGGGACGAAAGACATGCTGTAGATACATCCAGTTTTTCTCCCATGGAATTCTGAAATATCTGGCAACTGCTCCTTTGCGTCAATTTCATTAAAATAAATATAAATACTCAATTGGCTTTGGTTTTAAATGATTATAAGGATGTAGTAATGATTTTATGATTTGAATAGATTAAAAAGCTCAACTCCCTATCTTTGAATTGAAATTTACCTCTGGTACTTAGGAACTTAGAGACCATTTCCCCAAAACTAGGTTAAAAGTTGGAAAATATTGTATTTTTTATGGTATTCGTATATCCGTTTGCAGGTGAATGTCAATTTTTCATGAATCAACGCCTCGTAAATCACGATATTAAATAGTTTTTAGAACTATTTCGTATAACAATTCTGTCACTGTGCTTTCATTCAAACTTTTTTGCGTTTTCGTTTCGGGAGCTAGGTTGAATTTCTGTCCTTGGAATGGGAGAGTATGGTTATTATTCTCCTTTCTACTGATTTCCCAAAATATAAAAGATAGAAGCAGTAGAATTGAGACAAGCAAGATATATTGATGAAAATTTGAAATTGCAAATAAGAAATCGGCATACACAGGTTGTTGGGTATATCTGCGTTGTCTCTTGGTGAAGCACTTGTACGCTGGGGAAACATTATCAACATGCTCATCTGCAAAGTCGAAGATAGTAGGAACAACATGAGTCAATAGTAAGAGGGTTTCAGTAGATTGATTACTTGCAAGTGAGCCAATGAAAGTAAAATATTTTATTCTTGGGTTATTGTCAAAATTATCTCCTAGGGAGAAATAAATTCTGATTCAGAGTTTCATTCAAGCTGAGCATAACAATACAGTTTTAGTCCACTTGCAGTGTAGGGAATATTTTACTATTGCATCTGTAAAAAATCAATCTTTTTAGTTCGTGCAGTAGTGATAGTTATTTGGGATTATTCAATTTAAGAAGCTGAAATATAATAAAATGTTCCAATTCTAAGATACTTCAAAACTTCTTCAATAATATCCTCTACGTTCTTAGTAAGTCTGCAAACAAGGAAGAGGACTTTTAATTGTGTTAAGTGAAACATTCTAACGTTTAAAAGTGCAGTATTTGCATGTGTGTGCAGTATAACAATAGCTGTACCGTAAGATATTTAGAAAGGAGATTGTTTTCCGGTTTTTGACTGTTAAGAAATCATTTCTTGGCTATCAAGATGAATTATATCGCGTTTAATCTATTAGAACCAGTATTAAATTGGCGCCCAACGACTGTATTCCATATCTTTGAGTTCGTATCAACCTGCAATTCTTTTGCCTTAAGCTCTAAGTGCGTTTAATTCCATCAGTTGATTTCCACCAAAGCCCATTTAAGACATCGCCCTCGTTCTTAGTTGGCAAAGCAACTTCATGGAACTGATCCGGTGGTAAACACTAAGTCCCTCATTCTCTTCATTTACCAGCCTTATCAAACTCGTTTTATCGTTCCTCTTAATGGGTGTGTGACGTTGAAAGTATAACTTGCTTAGTCGTTGGCGCACATTTAATACGTCGTTTTCCTAGGATCCGATATTAACTTCATGCAATATGGATTGGCCTGTGGAATAGAATACTGAAAACCATTTCATTGTTAACATTACCTTCCAAAACACAAGCTCATTAATGGAGTTTGTCATATCTTCAGTTAAAAGTCCGTGTTTACTCTCTTTGTGTACTTTAAACGAAGGCACACAAACTGAACAAAATCAAATTGTCAAACATAAACTCACATCATGTACTTGTTTAAAAGTTCAATTCATTATGTTTTAACCTAATTCCCCATTTGGCTTTTAGACATTTTTCTTGTCTGACGACCAAGTTTATGTGTACAGGAGTTCCAGCAACAATGTCCTGTTTGCTGGCCAATATCAATGCTTTCTATGCACACACATCCGCTTCCAGTAATCAAACTGCTTCCGAAAGATTCAGTGCCAGCAACTTTGGAGTATGTTCTTATGCATATTTTTGCGTACTGATTGAAATAATAGTGATGTTGAATTGTAGCTTCATATAGATTAAACTGAAATCATTTACATGACCATTGATCGGGTCAATTAAGCGGTTTTATTCCAGCAGTATGCTTCAATATCAGTTATGGATAAGTCAAACGGATTTACTCATGTTTAATCGTAAATATGATGGTCTTTGGACGATTGGGTAGTATTTTGTTAATTTAAATTCTAAATTGGTACGTAATCGAATATATTTTGTTGACGCGCAATTTGCTTTCAAGATGGAAATTTTCACCCCTAATGAGGATACGTTTTTACACCCTCAACTGCTGGTGAGTAAGCAGAATGTTAGGATCGGCTATTTCTCAGAAGCAGAATAATCCAAAAATTTAAAAGTTTTCTTACCATTGCAGGAATATTGTAATGAAGGGTTTCAATGCATTTCATTGAAATATTTTTTTTGCATTTCAGAAAGAAAAGTTTGTAAAATTACTCGACCAACTTCACAATTCCCTTCGCATTAGTCTCTCAATGTATAGAGTGAGTAATACTTATTTAGCAATTACTAGACGTAGCAAAATGTTTCCTTCTTCTACTCAACCATGGCATATTCTTTTATGTAGAATTGTTTCCCAGCTTCCCAACAAGACAAATTGCAAGATCTAAAATCTACAGTCGATCTACTCACCAGTATTACTTTCTTCCGAATGAAGGTAAGGTTTTAATGAAAAAATGACCTTTTTCGAGTGAGAAAATTATGAAATAACATGCTGTATTATAATTTGATCACTTTTGGCAAAATAAGGAACAATTTCTGAATTAGAATGTTTTGAAACGTGTTTATGTAGAGGTGGAAAATGTAAGTCAAGATGACAGATGATTGATATTTCACTAGAATTTTGGAGTGACCAAGTTATGAGCATTTATCCTAAAGGAAATAGGCTGGGCAATCACCTAACCTTCTCCAGGTTTAACATCGGAAAATCATCTATTCGTCTCTTCCTATCGGTAATAAACTGTATATCGAATTTCACACTTGAGAACAACATTTGACATCTCTAGCGTTTTTTTCAAAAAAATGTTAGCAAACCAAGAAGCCTTTCAAGAATCACTTGTTTAGCTTGATGAATTGTAATGGAGATTTTTTGTCTATTTTCTTCATTGATTGCATATGAGTCATGGCAATATCTAAATGTATTTGGCTAATTGGTATCTTTTATAGATTCCCTCCCCCCTGAATTAACTCTTTACCGTTAAGATTTTGCTAAGTGGGTAAGATTATTTAAGGTACTATGGATTTATTCGGTATTTAAAGGTAGAAAAGATAGATTACCTTGGCAAAACCGAGTATCATTAATAAATAAACAGTCAATAAGCAGAGGTGATTGCGTATGCAAAACCGATCAGTATGGGGTTAGAAATATTATTGCTTCAAATCTGGGGACTTGAGGCACTGGATTTTTCATTAAGCCAGTATTCCAAAATCTGAATCCGAAAAGCATAAGAAGGTACTCCTTGCGCGTTCCATCCTTAATCTTCTCACTAAATTCCCAACAGAAAATGACCTACCAGGCTTCAGTTGCTTTAACGTCATGAAATATTTAATAGTATGTATTAAAATAAAATCTTTATCACTAAAGCCTTAATTTCATCACTTCCGGGAAACTGCTTTGTATCCTAGTTTTAAAGTGAGATTATTTGCTAATTGCCCTCTAATTGGTTGCTAAGACAAATATTCTCATATTTGCCTGCACACATGTGTCAAAGGAGCCTGAAGTGCGGTTAATGCGCAGAAGGCAAAAGTCTAAGGAGAAAATATGAACACTGATAATGTGTATTTGCGTCGTCTCTGTTTTATAACACTGGAGTACCTTTGAGAGGAATCCAGAGGTTACTCAAATAATTTCTTCACTGTATCTATTTACTAATAATCGCAGATTGTTCTCATCTTGAGGACTACAGTCATTCAATAATTTGCTATATTTGACGCCATATCCTTTGCAAATTAACAACTTCCTTCTTTTCCGCTAAATCTATAATTCTACCTCCTCTTTATTTCTTCATCAAATTTTCTTATAATGTAGCAATGCTTCAATAAATTTCTGAATATTTCTTTCTTGTCACTCATTTATTACTTACAAAAAAGGTGAGTGTCTTATTTTCATCGAAGGTCCAAGAGCTTACAAGTCCCCCACGAGCAAGCCAAGTTGTTAAGGAGTGTGCTCAAGCCTGTATGCAAACAACGTATCAATTTCTCTATGACAACTGCAACGACCTTTACTCACGTCAGTTCCAGGTAAGCGACATTTCATGGTGTCGTTAACACCAGGCCAGTTAGAATTTCCTATTGAAAAATGGGATTAGCGTTTCTAATAACTCAATTCCAAGTATTTTCATCTTATTTTTCTTTGCTTATTTGCTTGATTTTTGGACATGATTTTGCTGAACTTCTAGTTTATTTTCTTTCATCTAAATTGGGATAAAAGGGCTCTTATTTATGATTAATCTTAATTACTCGGCCATGACGGTAATACCGTTTTGCTTTTGCTAGTGGACAGCGCATATCAAGTGTCATGATGTTTATGAAAATCATAAAATAAAGACTGGTGTTTGTATTAAAACAGCAAAAAAGAGCAGAAATGTCGCTACAAAGTCTTTGGAAATTCCATTACAAACGGTTATACCCACTAAGTGTTAATACTGCTTAAATGTTCAGAATATCCGCAGAATCACTATGTCCAGTGTATCCAAAAAGTTAATATTCAGTAGTAGGACTGAAAATGTTGATCTTATTAGGTTTTAGTTTCTTTATATAACGCCTTTGCAACGTAAAAATTCAATGTCAGACTAAAATGGCCGGGTGAGTAGAGTGTTATCCAAGATAAAGGTCATCCTTAATTTAATGAGCAAGACCGTCAGTGAGACCCTGGTGGGTTTATTCAAGAATGTGGAAGGACAAGTTAGCAATTGGCTATCGCCTTACCGAATATTATTCTTCTGTAAATTTGTAACATCCAAAATACCATGTAATATTAATATTTCAATCGTTCTCTAGATTAGGGTTGTGGGTGAATAACTTAATTTTTTACTTTTCATAATGAAATAGAATGAGTGGGAGGTAGGTGGAAGAACGATTCTTACTAATAGTAATTAGGGGATAACTATTATTCAAGTTTACTTCTATTTTCAGGAAAAGGTGTCAACAGATGAGGCTGGTCCCTCCCTGAAATCCCTTGACTTTTGGCATCGATTAATCGCTCTTCTTGTCTCGGTGATTGAGGAAGATAAAACTACTTATGCAGCTGTTATTAATCAGTGAGTTGTCGTGTTCATAGTCCTTATTTTGTAAACATGAAACAATTTTTGCTCATTGCAACTTGGCCGCACCAGCTAGGCTTAAGACGTAGAGTAGTTCTCCTATGGACCGCAGATTCTCGAACTAATGAGTAGCACGTGATTATTGTTAGTTAATTCTGTAAAATAGCGTATCATGATGGCATAGAAAATAACGATGAATGTTAATCCTTGTAAAAGGCTGGTTTCTGGGCGGTAATTAGTTCAAATGTTATGCGTAACAGAGGTTCGTGTTTAAGCAACCGCAAAAAAATCTACAAGTAAGCCAAAAGCATTTATTCCATTAAATGATTAATTAGAATGAGATATTAGATATCTTTTGGCACTCTGAAATTTCAAGATTAAAAAGGGAGTTAGAGGGAGCTAAATGTGCAGTGCAGACTAAAAACGAGGACCCTTTTCAATTAATATCTATTTAAAGTGACTCTTACATCTATCCTAAAGCTATTTGAATTCTTCAGGAACTAAGAGCAGGTTAGTTCATAATTTCCCAAAATTGTTTCCAACAACTCTCTTACCAAATTGGCATTAAGTTCTTAAGTTTTTTAAGCTTTTATTTAGAACCTCAAATATTAATGTAGGGGAATATTCATTGTGGTGAATATACATGTTATATTTTGTAAAAGATTGATTTTCCATTTAGAGGATAAATAGCGCAATTTTAAAGGATAAGAACTTTTAGGTTTGTGAATCTGGGCCAGTCAGCCTTCTTGAAGTTCCACGATAGCTTAGTTGGCACTTTCCTTGTCATGCTTTTGCTGCCGATGGTAATACTAGCAATGACTGGTTTGTGACCAGAACCAGAATCGTTAATTATTTTTCGGCGTGTATGCTCGCTGATGTTGCTTGAAGCCAGGAGAAAGTCAGGAGTTGTTCTGGTTCCATTGTAGTGCAAATATGTAGCCGGATCCTCATTGCTGTAAATAAGTTCCAGAGTGTTGCTGTTTAGCATGTCTTCAATTTCCTTTCCAGCTATGTTTGTATCCTTGTAGCCCAATCTGATGGAATGGGCGTTGAAGTCTCCTAATACTACAGTTTTGTGTGAGATGTTCAAAAAATCAAAGTTGGGACTATTCTGGGGTGGATTATAGACTGCATATATCTTGAAGTGGTTTTGACATTTCCAAATATTTAATCTGTTTCAAGCTAATCATAATAAATCGAAGTCAAATCAGATGCCGAGTGATAGACTTTTTTGCCGTACTAAGATACGTTGTCCAAGGTGCACCACGTGGAGGTAAGTCTATCGCGCACCCCTCATTTATATACTGAAATGAAATGCAATGGCAAATGGTAACCTCTTTACTGGTGTTTTACCCAAAACAAGGTAAAATGCTACACCTTTTATCACCAGGAAGC